ATCTATTCATTAGGTTGATTTTTTTTTTTTTAATGACAGATAGAGTGTCCTCAAATTAATTTTTATGCACTTTAAAATTAATCATTTTTAGTGATTTTAACAGCTCATCCTCACATAAACTTAATATATTTGAGAAAATTAATTTTCTTAAATACTAATTCTAATACTTGAATAATATGATTTATAAGTGAGTACTGTAGATCTAATTCTTAGAGTTGTTAAGGTTGGCTCGTCCCAAATCCATATTTGAATGTAAGAAACACTAGATTTAAAAGAGGAAGATAATGAGAACGACAAGTTCAATTAATCCAAATAATAGTAGTCTTTAATTATATAGGTTTATATAAAAACTAAATCTAAACTAACATAAATAGTAGGCAGAAGGTGCAATTTAGCCCCTCTACGTCCATTGTTGTGGCACATCAGCCCCTCTACCTAAAAGTAGAGCAAATCAGCCCCTCCACTTGACAAAACCTGCAAATCAGCCCTTCTGCTGACGATGACCTCATCAAATGTCATCTTTCCGTCCACATCCTAGTTACTCCGTTACCAAGAAATGGCTTGGTGCTGATATAGCATTGAGTAGGTGACGTGGTCAATTTAAATTGCAAAATTATTAAAGAATCCTTATCTACTTTCTTTTCTTCCATTCATCTTCTCTCTCCTCCTTCACCGTCTCTCTCTTCATATTACAGATTTACTTTTCTTTTTCAATAGTTTAAATTGAAATTTTCTTCAGATAAATCTAAACTTTAAAAAATTATTAAAATAATTCTCAAAATATAAAAATATAAAAGTTAAAAAAAAATTTCAAAAATGAAATTTTTTTTAACTTTTATATTTTCATATTTTGAAGATTTTTTTAATAATTTTTTGAAATTTAGATTTATCGAAGAATATTTCAATTTAAACTATTGAAAAAAAAGAAAAAGTAAATCTGCAATATGAAGAGAGAGACGGTAAAAGAGCAGAGAGAAGATGAATGGAAGAAAAGAAAGTAGATGAGGATTCTTTAGTAATTTTACAGTTTAAATTGACCACATTACCTACTCAATGCCATATCAGCACCAAGCCATTTCTTGGTAACGGAGTAACTAGGATGTGGACGGAAAGATGACATTTGATGAGGTCATCGTCAGCAGAAGGGCTGATTTGCGGGTTTTGTCAAGTGGAGGGGCTGATTTGCTCTACTTTTAGGTAGAGGGGCTGATGTGCCACAACAATGGACGTAGAGGGGCTGAATTGCACCTTCTGCCTAAATAGTATCCTAACTAATAAAAATCATGACAACAACTTAATATAATTCTAACAATTAATCATAATAACTCTAACATATTAATCCTAATTAACA